TCCGTAGGCCATGCCTTCGTCGACCATGTGAATGGGGGACTACATCGGCCTCCAGCGCAAAGATAAACAAGTTCAAAAATGCAACGAACATAAGCCTATGACAAGGGTATCTCAACGTCCACAGCCATGTGGTCACCCTTCGGCCGAGTCGAAGCGCGAAGCATGACACTCATCGTCCTCGAAACAAAGGACACACATCGTCCTCAAACAAGAGATAACCACAATGGCCTCATCAGCCCAAAAGGGAAGTTCAAACCATCAACAACCAAGGATAGACACTACCTTCGTCGGCCACTCATGCCGGAACACTCATCGTCCGCAAACAAGCGCACCAAAGGAGTAACAGCCTTCCTCGTCCACATCAAGGAACGTGTAACGGCCAAACTCAGAACAGGGCCACCAAACGCCACGACAGGGAACGGCCAACGTGGTCCCGCATCGGCCAAGAGCATCAAGCACAGAAATCTACTCTCCTTCACTTTGTCTACATCTCAGCTTAGAGAGTGGGGGGCTCCTGATGGAGTATATGGGTCTAGGCCCCAGGACCCACATACTCAGAAGAACAGAAGGTACCATGATCACTGGGTGACCTCGTCGGCCATGCCCTCATCAGCCAGAAAAAGGTCTACTCAGAATATGATCCAGAAGCCCGGAGAACCGGGTGCCCTCATCGGCCATGCCCTCATCGGCCATGCTCTCATCGGCCAGAAAAAGGTCTACTCAGAATATGATCCAGAAGCCCGGAGAACTGGGTGCCCTCATCGGCCATGCTCTCATCGGCCATGCCCTCTTCGGCCAGAAAGAAGGCCACCCAGAATATGATCCAGAAGTCAAGAGAACCGGGTGACCTCATCGGCCATACCCTCATCGGCCATGCCCTCGTCATCCATAGATAGCATCTAGAACAGGATTTTATACTTATCATTTCTATACACTTTGTATCCGGCCCATTAGTGGCCCTGTTGTAAATGGGCCTCCCAAGCCCAAGACTTGGGAGCCCAGCCCTAATTTTCTCTATAAATACTCCCCTTGGGAGTAGTTACAGGGTTCAGAATTCATTAATACAAATCATATATACTACTTCTCTCTCTAGCTCTCACCTCTCTCTAGAATCTAGGAGTTAATACTCCATCAGCCCCTAACAAGAGTTTAACTCGCCGCCCGAGGTTAGTAGTTCGAACCCGCAAGTAAAGACTTTTGAACGGGTGACTCGTCCCCCGAGGTCAGAGTGTGATGCACTAGGAAGAGGTAAGAGCATGCAAGAACCCGTAAGAAGTCAAGAGTGTGAGGTATTAACATTTAGATTGGAGCTTATTAATCGTCACACCCATATGACGTGACCCGGTGGCACGAGTGTGTGTGTGCTCGGCCATTGTACGAGTGGGTGCGCTCATCCGGCGTACTTGAGTGATCAGATGTCATAACTCTGTTGTTCAATGTTAAAATTACACACATTTAACAAGAGTAAAAGCAATCATATCACTTAAAATATCTTTTCAAATGATTCAATTTATGATTTTTTTGTAATGTTATTTATATATATACCGAGTATATATAATAAATAAATTAAGGATGAGGAACTTAGCTTTAAAATTAGGCCGAAGCTTTGTGTGTTTGAAACTGTGGTGGTAGATTCTATGGTACTCATAAGGTACCATACTTATTTTTTAAATGGGTACCGGAGTTGTCACCAACTGTAGTTGCTGAAATTGGGCTCAATGTAGTCTTGGCCCACCTATTTTAACTTGAGCCGGACCTTTGCTTAGGAGAAAACCTGAGAACCTCGTGGACAAAGAGAACGGGAGGAAGTAGCACCTTGGATCGGCTGTCGCTACTGCTCGTGCGGAGGTCCTTTGGCTCTATTCAGCTTGGATCGTGAAGAAAGCTCTCCAGCGGCCATTAATAACGGAAGCCCACAAGGCTCAAGGTCGATATGTGTCGGACACGGAATAACAACCTACTGGACGGAGGAGTGGCAAGACCAACTAAAACAGGCGTTTGGCAGCGCCGCGATCCAGCTTGAACGTCGGGCGAGCGGCGAGAGACAATTGTTGAGGAAGGAGAGTTGCTGGTGACGGTCGATGGAGATCACGGCTCCGTGTTTTGTTGCAACGAAGGTTACAACTTACAACTTGTTGCAGTGCAGGGGACTTGTAATGGTGCGGAAAACTCCAGCTGGTGCACTGAGGTGAGCGGGCTTCACAATGTCCATGGCTGCTTCATTCTGCCAAGACCGCACAAGAATCTGAAAAAAAAAATCCAGATTCTTTTTCTTGCACACCTCCATGGGCATTTGCATTCTTTTTGAGGTTTTGAATTACAGACCTGAACAATGCTAGAAACCTTCCATCTTCGCCCCTTTTTCTGAAACTCGGGATCAATTCCTACTAGAGTGATGTGAGAGACAACAGAGGCTCTCAATGAAAGCACCAATGTTGGTCCAAAATAGGACGCTCGTAGGCTTTTAGGAAAGCTACGTACGACACTCAAGCAGGAATTAGGAAAGCAAGAACGAGAATGGAAAGTAGCTATGAGATTTAGTTGCCAGAAATAGCATATAGAAATTGCCCCCTAATATGAATTACAAGCCGCCTTTTATAGGCGTATACAAATCGTAACCGCTACCGATAATAATGACTAATTAAATACAACATTAATACAGAATTAAATACATAATTAACAGCGCATTAATTGCTTGACCGTTACTCTTCCGTGCTGGGAGGTCGGCCGGACTGACAGGCTCCCCGTTGGGCTGATAGACGGGCTCCAGGTTGTGGACTTGGATACACGGGTCCAAGTTCGGGGCTTGGGCTGATTAGGCTCTGGGCCTAATCTCATTACTCCATCCATACTTATATCATATGTAGTATTAGAGATTATATATATAATAGCTTGTCATATAATATTGATAGAAAGTGGTATTTGGATGAGAATAAAAAATGATAGAAGACATAACTCTATACGAAGTATATAGGATGATTTACACTTTATATCATCCATAAGTGAGTTGAAGGAATTCAAATCAATTTATCAATTCATACGTATTACCCAAGAAGCGCATCTCTATTCATCCCTTCTATAATACTACAATAAATGTTTGATGTTGTGTTTTGGAGCATTGTGTACACATTCATAAATACAAATCTTGATCTTGGTCATTTGGTGGTGGACATGATGGTTATAGTGGTTCATTCTAGGGATGAACTCGGGCCGGGTGGCCCGACCCGGAACCGGCCCGGACCGGTACTGTTCTGGTCCGGCCCGACCCGATGGACCGGTCAGTGACCGGTCCGGGTAGGTCCGGCCCGTGGATTTTCCGGTCCGGGCTCGGGTCACCCAAAACAAGGCCCGACCCGGCCGGTCCCGGGCCCGGTTCGGGCCAAAAACTATTTTTTTTTTCAATTTTTTTTAAATTTTCGGGTTGGGCTGGGTATTTTGGGCCATTTGGGGTGGTTTGGGGGGTTGGGGGTGGGAGGGGGGTTAATTAGGAAGAGGAAAACAAAAAAAAATATAATGAGCCCGGCCCGGACCGGACCCGGTGGTTACCCGGGCCGGTCCCGGGTCCACCATTTCTGACCCGCCGGCCCGCCCGGGCCTAGGCCCGACCCGGACCCGGCCCGGACCCGGCCCGGACCCGAGTCCATCCCTAGTTCATTCCAAAAATCGGTTATAAATGGCACTGTTCCACAGACTCGCCATAATCACCAGTCATTGTCACAATTAGAGACGGATGAGTCGTCATGGGATAGTGCGTGGAAAAGATGTGGGCAAGAGAAAGTTCCCAGTTATACTTTTTGTTTGTCTTTTTTATGTTTCTAATTAGTTATTAGTTATTGAACTATACCATTTTGTTTTTAGACAGAATTCCCTGAGTAAAAAAGTTTTCAAATTTCAAAATAGGAGTATCATGTTTTTTATTATTTGAATAAGAGTAAATTTATGTCAAGTTTGGTATTACTAAGCTTTAAAACATGGCATTTTTTCCAAACTTGGTAGATTACTCCTATTCAAAAAAAAAAACATGATATTCCTATTTTGGAATTTCAAAACGTGTTTGCTCCTACTTAGAGCAATTTCTATTGTTTTTATATAGTGTCTTTAATTAGAAGTGTGAGGACTAATACGATCATTATAAGCTTCAAATTGTTGAAAACATGATCAATGATTAGAGTTGCTCTTTTAAGGGTGATTGCTGATATAATACTCTATTATTGAACTTGTCATTTTTTTTATTGTATACCTTCGACTTGAGAGTGATTTAACATGAACCTTTTACCATAAAAAACTAGATGCACATTCATTTCAATTATACACAAAATCTTTATAAAATAAATACACTCCTACATCTCAAAAATAACTTCACAGTTTTAACCTACACGCATGTCTATCTAAGAAAAATAATTTTGATTTTTTTTCATACCACCTTAAGTCAGATCAAGTAAAAATTAATTAGAAGGTAATGACTAATGAGTTGTTTCATTTACTATTATTTTTTTTAATGAAAATGGAAAGTTTATCTGTTATCATCCGGTTAACTTGTTAAGCGGGTCTAAGGATGTTTATATTTGGATTGAAATTTTCTGATCTAGTCTCATTTGATTTGAACGATTCTAATAAATGTCCGGTCTCTTTGTATTTTATAATTATTGTGTATTTTATAATTGTCCAAGTCTAATCTGAGAGTGAAAATAGTCGTCCAAGTAAAAACATCTAGAATTTTGGATCGATTGGATCTAAATCTCTTTGGTCTTGTCTCCATCCAAACTAAACTGTCCAAAGACTATTGATCCCCTTTTCCAGTCCAGCGCAAAACATGAACCACGTGAATAATAACCCCTTTATTGATGAATATTTAAACTTTATAAACTACCAAGTACGATGACATTTCACCTAAACATTTTCGTTGTACCCTTGTCTAGATTTCCTTCAAGGCAGGACTACTCTTTAAGGAGTTGAAGGCTTAAGGTGTCTAGAAATTTTGCCAATATAGCTTCGATACGTTTATACAACAAGAAATTATAATGGCATTTTAATGAGATCTGAATAACAAAATAAAAGGTCCTCTCACCAAAGCCAAGAATTAACATATACTGTATATATTAATAAACAAATAAAAGTGCTACTACGATGCACATCAAGTATCACAATTTCCATTTGAACAAAAGCTGTCTAGCAAAACACTGTCTTTCATTTCTAAGTCTAGACTGTCAACTCAAAAAACCAGAATCTTGAACTCAATTTTATTGCACATCCGCAAATGAAGGATGAAAAATGACCAATCCTTCAGGATTCATAGAACTATTTTTTTTTCATCACTGAGGTACTGATTAAGATCACATTTTTACCGAGTTGGTTGCTGGTTGTAATGGTTCTTCTCCTTTTTCTTAGCTGCAGCGAGCTTTGCATTCCTAGCAGCGGCTTCCATGGCAGCAGCTTTTGCAGCTGTGTCTGAATCTTTATTAGATTTCTTCTTCTTTCCGGTAACCGCCCTTTTGAGTTTTTCAACATTTACAGCTGAGGATGATTCTTCTGCTTGCTTCTCAGCCCCCCCTGCACTGTTATCTGCTGCATTAGGGGAGGGATCCATGGTGCTGTTTGGCTGCTGCTGCTCTTGTGATTCCTTCAAAGATTTATCCTTCTTTTTCTTCTTCTTTGCAGCCTTGGATTCTCCAACCCCACCACCATCCTTTTTTTCCAACTCATCTTGCTGCTCCACTTTTTTCTCAGGTGCAGCAGCTTCTGAAATTTCCAAATGGGTTTTCATTGTAATAAATAAAAACACAAATCAGGATATGATCATGTAAATGTTGAATAAGCTACGAACCATTTATTCCTTTGAAGAAACATATATGGTCGAGTTGGTTTCAGTTCCAACGCCAAGCATGATTAACGATTGAAAAAGTTAAGGCATAGGTAACACAGACTAAATTCCTAGTTTGGATAGGCATTCAATTTCATGATCTATGCTCATTTTGGGATAAAACTCCCGGTGAATGCCTCCATTGTACCATTAGTTTTGCTCAATTGGGAAGAATAGTTCACACTATTCCAATGTGCTATAAGTAAAGTCCTGATCATAATTTGATTCCGACATCATATCAAAACAAACAAAAACTTCAGGCCTTAGGATGTGTTAGGATGAAGAATTTTGGAGGGGAACGTTTTAGACATCATGATGAATAAATAAAATGTTTCTAAAAATGAGTAAAATGGTGATTGAAATGTTATATGGTCACCTACTATGTCATTCCTTCAATGATTATAAAAGTAAAAAAACCTTAAATACTATCGTATCTATCCAGATATAGACATTGACTTCCAAACAAACCCCTTCCCTGATCCCCTCCAAAACGTCCTTCCAGAAGGGGCACACCATGGGGGTTGTAACAACTACAACGACCAGCTGAAAAATCAGATAAATATTCAAATACAAAGTAAACAAATAATTACCAGATGTTTCCCCTGCAGCAACCTTCTCATCGAGTGGAACACGAAAATCAGCTAAAAGAGCTTCCAATTCGGCAAGTTCCTTCTTACGTATCTCCTTCTTTGATAACTGACGTTCTGTCTCTTTAGGTGGTGCTTGTGAAGTTACTGCCACCTTGCTAGGGACTGGCTCAGAAACCTCAGCTTCATGCTCATGTTCGAGCTCCTCCTCTTCAACATCATCATCCCCTTCACCAAGAATATCTTCATCACTCTCACTTTCCTGCACTCAAATGTTTAGACTCTCAACACCTTATTATTCTCTATGATAGAACTATGTATTATGCAAATTGAAGGGAATAATTAGACAGAACTATGCATTGAGGATATATGTTACAACAATCTGGTTATTCTTTTGAAGGAGAATAATTGGATTGAAAGTTGCTAATCAAAACAGAAATGAACTACTACTTAATGTCTCTGACCAGTAACAACAACAACATCCGAGCCTTATTCCCAAAATATTTTGGGGTTGGCTAACATGAATCAATCCATGATATAAGAGCAAACAAGAGAAGAAAAATAAGAAGAATAAAAAGATAAAGTAAGATTAAATGGATAAGATAAAGATAAATTTAAAAATAACATAAGAACATAAGAAAATAACAAAAGACAACTTGAACTCTTGAAGGGGAACCTTGGCACACTGATTACAGTGTTGCCGTGTGAAAGAGAGCGGGAAGAGCATGGGGCGGGACCGGGCTTGGGCCCACTTCTGTGGGCCAGCTATGGCTGTCATTAGAATTTATTTATTATTATTAAGTTAATGTTATGTTTTACTTTGGGCCTATTATTAGTAGAGTATTTAGTAGAGTTATTATGTGCCTAATAAGAAGTTATTTATTTTGGGCTTAATTAGGGTCTCCCTGGAGTATGTCATTAGTAGGTTATTTAAACCCCTTGATAGAGTCATTCTTCAGCATCTTGGAATAAATTAATAAAATTGGTTTTAGCCTTTTGGCTCTGGGCAACGGTTTACCCCGTTGATTTTTATTTTTTCTGTTACACAACAATTGGTCCGACCTATGGGATCCCGTCTCGCCAGGATGACCAGATCTCAGAACGATCGATTGACTGAGTTAGAGACCGAGCAACATCGAATGGGAGAGGAGCAAGCCCGATCGGGAGCTGAACAAGCACGAATGGCGATTGAACAAAATCGGATGAATAGCACCCTACAAGAACATGGCATGCGGCTGGCTGAAATCGTGGCATCCCCGGCAGCGCTAACCCACACCCTTGTGCCGCCGGTATTGCCGGCAACTTCCTCTGCCGCAGTCGGAAGTGCGGCTGTGACAGCGCCCAGCGACGGCGGACGGCCCAACACAGCCACAGCCCTCCTTTCCTCGTTCGACGGTGAAGACCCAATTGGGTGGTTGGCGAGAGTGGAGCAGCGGTTTGAGCTCAACAGGACCCCACCAAACAGACAAGTTGCAGCGGCTAGGGTTTTTATGGAAGGGGCTGCCCTCTATTGGGTGACTTGGTTGAAGGCGCGCAAACCCGGCATGTCCTGGGAGGAATTTAAGCGCCCTGGTTGCCAAATTTGATTCCCGATATCAGGGAAACAGGTTTGAACGACCGTCAGCCGTCAAACAAATTGAGTCGGTGGAGGAATACATGCCTTGTTTGTTCAACTGGCTAGCCAAGTTCCAGGATTGACCGACGATCATTATTTGGGCTATTACATGAGTGGACTTAAGGAAGCAATCCGAAGTTTGTTGCGATTACTTCGGCCAGAAAACCAAGAGACGGCCATGGAATTGGCTCGCGATGTGGAGCATAATCTGTCCGTCCAAAGTCGAGGAAGTGGCAGCCCGAATTATATTTCTTCAGGTGTACGTTCCAGCAGCTTTTTACTGGCAAACACGGGTCCTTCGTTGACTGCCAGTGGTGGCAGCTTACAGGGTTCAAGGGGGCAGCTTTGCGAAAGATAGTGGATAGCCCCCGGGGACAAAGTCAGGGCTGTCCGGGCAGCCTACGACATGCTCTCAGTTCACTTGTCTTGCGCCGAAGGAGTTAGCAGAATTGAGGGCGAAGGGATCATGCTTTAGGTGTAAGAAACCATTTACCCCAGGGCATGACTGTCCCTTTAACCAGTTGCGAGTTATGATAGTTGAGGAGGATGAAGACTTGGACCTCCAACAGCATGAGTACCGTGAAATAACCGGCCAGGAAAGGGGTGAAGGATATTTTCGAGTCTATTCTATGGCCGGAAATTTCAGTCCCCGATCTGCGAGATTTCAACCTTGAGAACAAGGTTATTTTGAAGGAGGATGGACTGATAGAGAGCGGGAAGATCATGGGGCGGGACTGGGCTTGGGCCCACTCTGTGGGCCGGGTTAGGGCTGTCATTAGAGTTTTATTATTATTAAGTTAATGTTATGTTTTACTTTGGAGTTTGGGCCTATTATTAGTAGAGTATTTAGTAGAGTTATTATGGGCCTAATTAAAAGTTACTTATTTTGGGCTTAATTAGGGTCTCCCTGCAGTCTGTCATTAGTAGGTTATTTAAACCCCTTGTAGAGTCATTCTTTAGCATCTTGGAATAAATATGGTTTTAGCCTTTTGGCTCTAGGCAACGATATTTTTATCGTTGATTATCTGGACAACGGTTTACCCCGTTGACTTTTATTTTTCTGGTACACAACACTGTGTGACTGAGAGGTCATAGGTTCAAGTTTTGGGAGCAGCGTCTTGTAAAAATGACAAGGGAAGGGTTGCATCTTATATAAACTTGTGGTGGGACCCTTCCCCGGACACTCGCCTTGTGGGGACGCCAATGTGCACCAGGGTTTAAACATATTTGGTATGGATTAGCAAATAGTCTCCATCCTCTGATCCTCCCATAGTTAGCATTGTGAAAACAATTGTTTCTACTGCAATTTTCTCTACATTCACTAATGACAGAAATGATGGTGGCTTAAATTGAGAAGCAAAAACGACTCAAATAGACTATAGACTAAAGAGCATTTAAAGAATCAGACAAAATCAGATGTAATATGCATATGTTTCACATGAAATGTTGCTTCGCAACCACCATCACAGTTTATCCTTCGCAAAAGTCCTTGTTTGGTAAACTGTTAAAGCTCATACTTCTACATCGTTTAGGATTAATGTATCCGTTGCTTCTGGTTCTTAAACAGTGCTAGTGAACTTGCAAGACTATTAATATGGACCTATCTCTCAAAGAGCACCTTAGGACAAGATAATGTGGTTTAACTAAGGCATAATCCCGATATGCAAACAGGAAAGCCTAAGGACGAACTGTTCAAGATCGAAAACCAAAACCTGCAAGATGTGGTACAATATGGAAGTATGCCTAGAGGTCAAAAAGAAGTGTGCAGAAAGGCTTGTCAAGACATTGTCTCATATACAATCCTTTAGTAGAACTTCAAGACCTGATCGGCTACTCATGTTGATTTATGACAAGAAAATAGCCTGTTATAGTCACCTCATCATACAAAGTAAAAATCCTACACATGAATTGTATTACAAACTACTGTGCTAGTTATTATGCCTCATCATCCTATGAAATGCCTATCATTTGAAAATGACTGCTTCTATGATAGAACTAAAATAACCATTGCTGGTGTATACATGAAGCTAGCAATGACACCTAACTTATTTATAGATTGTAAAGTAAGCAATATCAGTAGTGGTAATCAATGTGACCCCAAGATTGAAACGGTATATGTTTAAGGTAAATAAACTCAGTTTCTTTAAAAATCACAACTTCATGCATCATGGAGTCACATGAAGAAAGGGGCAAATCTGAACAAAGGCACAAATCACGTGATCAGAGTAGCATAAAAATATTAAATAAGAATAAAGGGACAAAAAAACCAGATGAGCAGAACATAGATTGTTACCTCTGCAGGCTCAGATTTCTTTTCATCTGCCTGGTTAAGACCCCATAAAGACTGAGGAGGGGCGGTGGTTGCATAGTAATCATCATCATCTTCATCATCAACATCAGCCCATGATTTCACCTTCAATGGCGTTGGAGACCAGATCACTGGAGGCTCCTTAACAGTCTCAACCGTAGACTTCTTCTTAGATCCTTTCTCTTTATCAGACTTCTTCTTCTTCCTCAAAGTATCAAGAGCAGCAAAAACATTGGAATTGCTCATCACAAATGAACCTTCCTCCTTCCTGCTCCCACCTCCCACCATTTCCTAAACAAAAACTCAGAACTCACAAGCTCAAAAACAAAAGGCACGTAAAATTGCAGATTTTAGAACTGCAATCCGTACTTCGATATTCTATAAAACAATAAAAAATCGAAATACACGCGATCAAAAAAATTAAATACTTTCGTCAAACCCCGACAAAAATAATTAGATATCTTTCTTTCCTAAATTTCACAATGATCACTGGAATAGTGCAATTTTGTGAAGCTTAGGGTTAGACGTTGCAGTTTTCTTTCCTTTTTTAGCTCAACACGCTCCCGACAAGATCGGTGATTTTATCGATTGGAGGATATAAAGTCGACGAGTGAAAGATGCCTTTGATAGCAGGAATGGATCGTATTTGAATGAATAGATGGCGAACAGACAAGGAAAGAGATATGGAGGTGAATGTGAGAATTGGATAGAGTGTGGAGGGTTAGGGTTTCGATGGAAAAGGAAGTGCAAAATGCAGGAGATAACGCGGCGGATAGAAGACGAAGTTTAAATAAGGGTTACGGTGAAATAAGGAGTTTTTTCCCGTAGGGTACTTTAAAACTTATTTCTCATCAATTTTGAGAGTTTAGGTGTGCTTCTAAAATATAGAAAAAAATGAAGCTAATAAGAATCGAACCTGGGTGAAACACAAGAAAGACATGTATGTGAACCACTACACTACACCATCCACTTATTAACAAATGCCTTTTAAGAAGTATAAATCATGTATCCTTCATCACGGGAGTGCACTATTTCTTAATCGCATGTATTATTCGTTCCTTTAGAAATATCTCTCTTTACCAAACAATAAAAAATGTAATAATAAAAAACTGAATTTGAGTTATTCAATTAAAAATCTTATTAAAACTTATAATAAAAACATAATTTGCTAATTTAATTTGAAAAATAAAGAAATATTTAACTTAGAATACAAAAAATTAATCTAAACTTATTATGACAAAACACAATTTGGAACATGTATTTTTTTAAATAACTTAGCTTCAAATGAAATAAAATCAATTAAAATAAAAGTCATATTTCTGAGTTACTTATTTCTAAGTTACTTATTGCATGAAATTTACTTATTTTTTATTTTATTTACTTTTGAGTTATTTCAAATAACTTTTAAATTATATACTTCAATTTTTTTATAAATTTAAATTACATTTTTATAGAATTAAATATCGCAAACTAAGCTTTTCGTTGTGATTATTTCATTATAGCAGCTCAACTCTTCTGGACTCGGTTCAATTTTCTCATTGATTATTATTGTTTCAAATTCAAATACAACACTCAAATTTGAACTAAATTGTAACATGTTAAATTTTAGTGAAATTTGCAATACAAATACTTTAAGTCCAAGAATGTATACATTTAGCTGTGTATTACTCATTGCTTTAAAAATATATAGCTTCTTTTTAAAATAATTAAAAAATTACGCAAAATACTAGGTTTGTGATAATTAAAAATAAAGACTTAATTAAAATTTATTGTTACTAAATGTTATGAAAGGCTCTAACCCACCTCAATTTAAAATCAGATACTATTCATGTCAAGAAAATCATATAATATTTATCTAAGAAAGAAAAAACTTGATAAATTTATAAACGAAAAATGCTTGGTTCCGAGGCGGAGTCGAGCTGAGGCTGAACAAAATTAAGCTGTTAGAGAATTTTCATAAAGAAAAATTTATACGATATTTTACATTAATATTAAACCTTTTATAGAATTTAAAGTGGACTAGCATGAAATTTACTTATATTTTATTTTATTTTATAAGTTTTTTATTGTTATATTTTTAATTGTTTGGGAAAGGAAGAAATATACTTCGTATTTCTAAAGGAACAAATAATACATGCGATTAAGAAATAGTGCACTCCCGGGGTGAAGGATACATGATGTATACTTCTTAAAAGGCATTTGTTAATAAGTGAATGATGTAGTGTAGTGGTTTAAATACATGCCTTTCTTGTGTTCCACCCAGGTTCAAATCCTGTTAGCTTCATTTTTTTCTGTATTTTAGAAGCACACTTAAACTCTCAAAATTGATGACATGGAATTGATGGGATGATGTGGATAAGCTTATGTGGCAATGTTTGTGGGTATCTATGTAAATAAGACATCATATATGTGGGTATCTATGTAAAAACACCCCTCAATGGGAAAAAACTCGTGAAATAAGACATCATATATGTGGGTATCTATGTAAATGGTGATCATAATTTTGTAAATTACAACTTATATCCTCCAACTATGTCTCGTTTTACTTTTTGTATCTTTTCTATTCCGTATTAAATTTGTTTCATACCTTATTTAGCAATGTTTGAAATTAAAATTCATTCTTAGGAGGGTGTCCTCAATATGGATTTTAGTGGATTTTGAAAGATTTTAGAATTCCATCACAATCTAGGTGTTCTCAATTTGGAGTTCAATGGATTCCATTAAAATATGGGTGTCCTCAATCTTTCCATGAATTTCAATTAGTATTTGTTCTAATGGATTTTAAAGGATTCTAGTGGATTTCTATGCATAAAACATTCAATCCAAAATATCTTCTCATCCCCTCGGATTTCAAATCCATCTCATCCTTACCAAGACATAACAGCTCTCCCGTGGAGAAGCAAAACAAATGGACTCTCTGGAGCTTACCTGCAAAACAAATGGACTCTCCAGAGCTTACCTGCTAAGTAGCCTCTCTCTATTTATTTCCCACATCATTGCTTCACTGTAAGTGCTTAAATCATATCATTGCCTAATTGCCTAGCCCATGCTGCGAAGATTCCGTTACTCTATAATGCTTGATGAGTTATGTTCAATATGCCAAGACTCGTGAGAATGCCACCACCAACCTAGATCCGCTCCTTTCCTTCTTCAGTTGTGGAAGCTGGACTGCTGAGACCTAATTTCTGGGCTTTTCAGAATCAGACGGGATTTCAATTTCAAAATCCAGGGATTCTATACAATTCCATCAGAATCTCATGGATTCTATACAATTCCATAAAAATCTATCAAAATCTGAATCTTTTAAAATCCATTAAAATCCATATTGGAGACACCCCCCTTACTTTTGCTTACACTTTATCAATTTAACATTAATCACTCAATCCTTTTTTTCTTAAAAATTGCACCACACTCTTTTATGAGAACGTATATCGTGGGATCATCCCACGGTGAGCATCATGTTCTACTCCCAAAACGACATAGTTTCAATCAATTTTAAAAAATCGTGTGAACAGTACACGGGTGTACAGTACACGCGTGTACAGTACTTTTTTTTTTTTAATTCTCATCTCAGTAGCATGAATGATGTAACTTGTGCATAATTAGATGTAACTCGTGTTGCTACATATGTAACTTCAGTTGACAACATATGTAACTTGTGCCCTGAAATGTAGCTCATGTTTAATGAAAAAAGAAGTCTAATTGTCCAATTATTTTACATAAATAGTGCATATGTTTTATTTTTAATATTAGGTTCATTAAAAATGATTTTCTTAATATTAGGTTCATTAAAAATCAATTTTGGTTGAATATCAGAGGTTTATTTTGTTGTGTAACTCACATTGTTTTGTGATGTAACTCGCAGTATGTCAAATGTAAATCAAGTGTAATCAAGATGTAACTTATTGAGAAAAATTGAAATGTAAATCGTGTGTTACAAAATGTAACTTTAGCCAAAATGAAATGTAATTCTAGTGTATGTGAAATGTAACTCTTTTTTTCTTTCTATCCCCTGATTCTAAGAGGAAGTTTTATGAAGCTTATAAATCAATAAATAATAACAACAATTACAACAAATTAAGGACGGTTGGAGTCCCCAACAACAAAATATTCTCCAAGCAATAGAGAATTCATGATATAGGTAGAAGAAGCTGGAAAGATGATGTTCCCTATGCGTTCTTATCCCTCCGTCCTTCTTCAAATAACAAAAATTATTGATAACATCGAACAAGTAAAGGAACGGGCTCCACCATAGACATTGAATAAGGAGCAATTGTTTTCCATCGATGCTCTGCTATTGCTAATTTGGCCGATTCAATTCTCTGTCTCACAAACGGAAGCCGGCGATAGGAAGAGAACGAAGAGAAAAGGAAGAGAAGGAAGAAAACGAATAGAAGCAGAGCCGCAACAGCCAGAGAATAACGAACCTAAACTAAACAAAAACGACACCGTTTGAGAGCAGGAGAGGGTGCTCACCGTGGGATGATCCCACGGGATAATTTGCGCTCTTTTATACTCTGTATCAATCTTAAGGGTGACGGGAGTAGTAATAAATTGTTGAAAATAGGAATAAGACATTTCATCCATCTTACTAGATTTTACCAACTTTCCTTTTTGATTTATTCCAAAAAATTGTACTCTTTCCGGTCCTAAATAAACTTCACACTTTGATTTCACACAAATTAAGTAAATAAATTTGACTTTACTGTAGAGTACACTGTTTGGCACTGTTCGACACTGCTTGACACTGTTTTGCACTGTTTTGCACTGTTTTGATGTAGATAATTTGCCAAATAAGGAAGGGGGAAGAAGTGTGAAGTTTATTTTGGAGAGATATTACCCGAAATAAGACTAAAACAGTTTGAAAATTCCAAAATAGGACTGTCATATTTTTATTCCCAAAATAGGACTAATTACTGTCATGTTTTGGCAGTACCAAACTTCAAACATGGCAGTATTTTCTAAACATGACAGTAATTAGTCATATTTTGGGAATAAAAAACATGACAGTCCTATTTTGGAATTTTGAAACCATTTTAGTTCTATTTCGGGAACTTTCCATATTTTGAACCTACCCAAAATGAACCTACAAATTTCATCCACAAATTTTTCACTTTTCTTATTTCAGACTTTACATAAATTTGGTAATGTCCAATGAGAAGTGGTGATAATGTGATTATGTGATATGAAATAATGACAAGAACAGTACTCTCTACTATGGACAATTTGAGTTGAAAGGAATAATAAAATTTTCATATTAGATAAAAAAGACTAAACTAAATTGAAAGGATTAAAACACCCTAAAAATAAAACTCCTAAAAAACCTTACCTCTTGCTCATCTGCTCTCGCCCAATAGCAGAGCCAGAAATATGAACTAGAGGGGGCAGAGCCTAAGGGAATTACTTTGTTCTGTCAAAACATAATACTCCCTCCGTCCCATTTAAAGGTTCTCGTCCACTATTCTACGGTCAATGTACATTGTTCTTAATCTTTAACTTTATATATTCAACTTTTATCAGAATATGAATTGAAATTTAAATTTTCTTGATCAAGCTTTGTAGCGGTTTTAATGTAGTATCTGAATATGTAATTTTATTTACTGAAAATAAATCTACTAATGATAGGGATCAGTTAACTTTATGGTCAGTCAAACATCGTAAACCGTGTGAGAACTTTTAAATGGGACAGAGGAAATATGATAAAATGTTTTTTTAGCTTATTCATGTTTATACATTTATAATTCGTATATGTACTAGAAAAGAATATTATGAGACCCCATTTAGTCTCTCCCTATCCTCACATTCCATCGT